TCAGCAGGAGTATGTCATTATACAGAAAGTTTGCAGCAGTTCAGAGGTGTCCATATGATTTATGTTTAACACTGGAGAAAGAAAGTCATAATCTGCCAAGAAAGGCTCTATCCTGGCCATAGGGGCAGTCACTTGTAATCCATTGTCTTCCCCATCCAGTTTTACTCCTTTCATTCAAGATTAGGTTTACATTAAGGACTGCAGAATAAAACAAAACCTCCACTGATAATTGGCATTTTTTTTTTTTTTAGTTTTCTCTTTGGGATGTTTGCATTTGACACAGGAAAAAGAGGGAATAACTTATATCTCAGGCTCTCCTGTAATATAGGAAACAGAAAAGAGAAACAATAGCTCACTGTATTGTTCTGTTAATCCTTGATCCTAGTGAATAATGTAGAATTATATTATAAATATAATATTAATGCTCTAAAATTTCACACACAAACTGTCACTGCTCTGTTTTGCTTTAGAGAAAAACACATTTTGTTTTCAGTTTTAGTGCTTTTATATTGCAAACATAGGTGTTATCTGACAGGTTTCATTCAATCTAAATAGAAAGGACTTTACATTTCCTTGTATTTTATTCATTAAAGATGCTTGGATCAAAAGCTCTGGGAATCCATCTTGAAAGGACCTATATTGGATATAGTTACTGAACCATAATGTTAAAAAGTCATTTCAAACAATCAGCTTGTAAGTCACGAGCAATATTAACAGTTAAAGTTACGTTCTTAGGCACTGGTGTCTTTCATTTGTAAGATTTTTTTTGGCTGAATTGTCCTACAAAATTGGACCAGTCTTCATAAACAAGATAATTTTCTGTACGAAAGAAATTAATATATAAATTTATGTTAAGATTTTTAATTGGAGATTTTTTTTTAAAGATCTCTTTAAATAACATTCTTTGCACAGAAACTAAGCTCATCTGTTCTTTTCTCCATGGATCTCTGCCTAATGTATCTGCGGCTGTTTTTCTCTGTAGATTAAACACAGTTTACATTCTCTTTGGAAGACTTCCAAAGCTGTGGGGACGTTTTACAGGAAATGTTTCCAAAACATATTTAGGACTTTCTCTTCCTGAGACAAAACCTTCAAATATGTTTCAATATTTTCATAAGCAAGTGAACTTTAATAAATATAGCATGTTTTTCAAACATGTCTTTTTATATAAAGTTGAAACCAGCTGATTATTTTTTCCACTGAAATTTGTTTAATGTGTTTTCCTTAATTTTTATTTTCCATTCCCTTTCAATGAGATGCAATTTGTGTTAATATTTGCATAGGTACCTTATGTTAGATATTAATTTTACAGATATACACACTACCAGAGCTTCATATCTGAATGTCAAACACCAGTTAATGTAGTTTGGACCCCTATAGAAAGTACATTTATTTGATATAACATGTTCCACAGGCAGTCCCTTTGAGTTAGAAACAAAACAGTAGAAAAGGTAATTGAATTTTGTTGATCCTTACAGAAAACATCTTGAACATAAAATCAAGATAACGTTTTATCCCTTTACTACCTGTAGCCCCAGATTTTTAGGGTGCTTTTCAACCCAACAACTGTGCACACAAATTTGTACTCTGAGTAGTTGGAATATACAAGACCATTTTGAGTACCCATATAGTTTATATGAATGCATAATTGCAAGAACTTCACATATATTTACGCATGAAATTGCTCAATTGACCTTAATCCTTCCTTCCTGAATACTTGCTATCAGATGCCTCTAGGCTTGTCCCTTGGTATGAGGTCCACATAGGCAACTGAAATACTTCTTCTAGGTGTCTGAATACAAATTAGTAGTCCAGTAAATCCTTTTTCAATGTCTGCCTAAGTCTGGAGTCACCTAAATTAATTCAGCATTTGCATTTTGGAGCATAAGATTTTAGGTGTCTTTTCTTAGCTTTCCATGCATGCTCAGATGTGTCCTAATCTAAGCCACTAGATGCATAACAGTATTGCATAACTAAACTCTATTGTAATCCATATATGAGACAGAGTGGCATCTAAAATCTGCCTGAGTCCCAGAGGGGCCCAATCTAGTAGATGTGCTTAAAGCATATATAGTGCACATTGATAGCATTAGATCCAGTGCAATGTGCAGCATCCATGGTCAGTTTCACACAAAAATGTCATCCTCCCACCACCCAGATTTTGTGTAATAGCCTAACTGTTAAAGTACTTACCAGGAAAGAGACCTGAGGCTTAACCTACATTACATACCTCCCAGGGAAAAGTCCTGAGCACTAGGGTACAGTCAGAGTCTCTCTTGCTTACTCTTCTTCTGATTTACATTCTTAGCTGCATGGTGGATAACAAGAGGCATGGAAGGCATTGTCAACTCAGAAAATTTTATTGCTTGGTAGTGAGAAAGAGGTATGAGGTCAGGGATTGGTGTGTGTGTGTGGGGATGGTGGGGGGTGGAGGGTGTGTGGGTATGGTGGGGGTGGGGGTGTGTGTGTGTTTGGGCTGTGGATATGGTGGGGGTGTATGTGTGGATGTGTGGGGGTGTAGGTGGTTGGTATAGTGGGGTGTGTGGTTGTGGTGTGTATGTGGGCATGATGAGGTGTGTGGGACATTGTGAGATGTCTGTGTGGTATAGTGGGGGGTGGGACGTGTGAGGGGATGTGGGTGCGTGTGTGGGGTGTGTGGTTGGGGTGTGGGTGGGAGGCTTTCTGCTCCCACCCAGCTTCCCCCTGCCCGCTCTTTGTGATGTGGCTGAGCCCAGCCCCATCACAGGCAGAGGGAGGGGAGGGGGATTGGCGCTGCCTGCCTGGCTCACAATGCACTACAAAGGAGAGGAAAGCAGCTGTGGTTGGTGGGCAGCAGGAGAAGCCCTTGGGGGGGAGGGGACTGGGAAGGAAGGGAGACAGAGCTGAGTCTAACACCTCCGGCTCTCTTGGTCTTTGTCCCACACCTGCCTGGTGAAGTGGCAGCTGAGCCTGCACTGGCTCCTCCTGCTGCTGCTTCCACCCCATGTGCCTGCCCGGCAGGGCTTTGTGAGCAGCTTAGCTCCTTCATGCCTACCCTCCATCCAAACCCTCTCCTGCCAAGCCATACACAAGCAGGACCAGAGTGAGCTGCAGGCAGAGCCCACCCCACTCCCCACAATGCTGCAGCTTCCCCTTCTTACTTGCTGCCTGGAGCACTGCAGCAGGGGCAAAAGTTTCTAGAGGCTGGAGGAACCCAGCTGTTCCCTGGACAGGCTCTGCCCAGAAGCTGTGTCAGAGTTGGTGTCCTCTGACGGGAGAGGCTGGGAGTGGAGCAGGCACTGCCCCAGGCTGGAGTGGGTGGGACTCGGCCCCGTGCAAAGTGCCGTAGGGGCAGCCACTAGCGGGACTGGATCCAGTCCACAGACAGCATTTTGCTCACCCCTGTTATAGACTAATTTCAGTCTGGACACCCTGACTGTGAAGAAGTTTTTCTTAGTGTTGAGCCTGAATTGATCTTCCAGGAGTTGGTGGCCTTTACTCCTGGTTTTCCCCTCAGGTGCCCTGGTGAACAGTTGTTCATCAAGCCCTTGTACTCCCCTAATGTATTGGTAAGCTGCTACCAGGTCCCCTCTCAGCCTTCTTTTCCTCAGGCTGAAGAGTCCCAGATCCTTCAGCCTTTCCTTGTATGGTTTGCCTTTTAAGACTCTGATCATAAGGGTGGCTCTTCTTTGGATTCTCTCAAGCTTGTCTGTGTCCTTGTTAAAGTGCAGTGCCCAGAACTGGATGCAGTACTCCAGCTACGGTCTCACCAGTGCTGAGTAGAGCAGAAGAATCACCTCCTTGGTTTTGCTGGAGATGCATCTATTGATGCATGCCAGAGTATTATTTGCCCTACAGATGTAACAACTGTCCATGATCTCTGTTTTATATATTTCTCTTTCACTTTCAGAGTGAAAGTAAAAGGTAGCTACTGGTTCTACTATTAGGTAATCAGTGGGGTAGGGTATTATCTCATTTCCATTGTTTTTAACTCATCTATACTGTGGTCGTAAAATACTGTACTCACCACATGAAAAATTTCCCTTGATCAGGGACTTAGCAATTGATGAGAGCCATATGGGTGTAAAAGAGGATTGGTTTGACCCAGTAAATTGAAGTTTGCTTAAAATATATAAAACCGATTTTAAAAGTTATGAATTTCATTTGGAATTATATGAAAGCATATATTCAAGAATCATATTAAGATATCCATATGGAAGGTTTAAAAGAAAGCCACAAACAACCGAGGTTTTAATTGAGGTTTTAATTAAGAATGGAGAGTAGCATTATACAAATTAGAGATGACCTAAGAGAAAATTCAAATATTTCCAGCACTCTTTGGTAACAAAGTAAGAAAATATTCATTCATATATGTACAGAGACTGTTTACATATATATAAAACAAAATGCCTTTTAGACTGTTTTATGTATAACTGGAATCCAAAGAGCAAAACCCACGTTGCTTTAAACCAAGTGCAAGAATATGGGTATATGGGGAAAATTGGAGCAAAATTTGTTCTCTTGAGACTTGTTTGTTCAAACAAGGAAGAAAGCATTGCTTCCTTATGACTATATTTGTGTCCTTTAGTAAAACAATCCCTGAAATGAAGTGTGCTGTTACAAAGACAATGACAAAGTATGACAATAGCTACACATATATTACAATAAAGGCAAGTATACTGATTATCTCAAGCATCTCTAAATAAACTTAACATTCATGTGCAATATGCAGGTTGGAGATAATTACATATAATTACAAATGGACAGAATTTGTCTCCCCATTACTGAATCAACACAAATATTTTATACATTGAGCTTATTTTATCAAAGACACAATACCATCAGCAGCACTTTGAATCAAAGTAAGAGGTTAACATGTTACAATACAACATTTTCTCCTAATTGCATTATTATTTGCATGGGAGTGTTCAAATCACATCACTGGTTGGATATGAACTACATTCGTATTTTTTCAAAGAAACAGTTTTATTCTTTAAATCATATTTACATTAAAGCAAAGATCAGAGGATTAGCTCTATTGTGTTGATGTAAAAGGAAGTGTGTTGTATTTTTGAAAATGGATCCCCTGGGAAACTGTAATCTTCATCACCTCTCCATTTAAAGTTTCATCTTCAATAAGCATTATCAGTCCCTTGGCAATTAGCGATGGGCTAAAGGAAAAGAAAGATAATATTTTTTTCAGATCTGAAAATCCAACATGGCACAATATACTCTTACTTATCTCTAATAATATAAATATGTGGAAAAGCTATGTAAAATACCATATGTAAATTCAGCCAGAAAAAAATCTGACAAATGAAAGACACTATGTTATAATATAACATAATATTAACTGTTAATATTAATCTTGATTTATATGCTGATTATTTGAAATGACTTTTTAACATTATAATGAATAACTAGTCTTGCATAAATGCTTGAAAACTAAACTCTCTGTTATTTGAACAGATCTATTTTCAACTGAAGCAAAAGTACAAAGAATTTAATGATGGCTATGAAATTGCCATAATTTAGCCACCCAAACTTTGTAAATTATCCCTTATCTGGTTTTGTAACTGGTAAGTACTGTATAGATTCTGTTACTATTTATTTTCTTATCAAAGTTCTCTCTATTAAGTTAGGGTCCAAATCCTCTACTCCACTGCTCTCGTAGATCTGTTCTGCTGTTTTTTTCTGTACTTGTTTTGCAAACATGTTTCCACTGACATCAGTAACAGGATTGCAGTGCAAATTGCTGAGGAGAGTTTTGCCTTGTGTAATCTGCCTCCGGTAATTTAAACTTCAGTAGACGTGACCTCTGAAAAAAGAGCAATTCAACTAATACAGTAATATTGTCTTATTTTTTTTTTGGTTAGGTCTGATTTCTTCACTCCTTTTGTTACTTTCTGTTATGTCTTGCTCCTAGTTTGTACAGAAATAAATCACAGGTGCTATTTAACTCTACTTGCTGGGGTTCAGTTACCTGTGGTATTCTGTTTGGTTTCCTGTCCTTTAGAAGACAAAGAATGCTAACTGTAACTTTACTTACTCCATCACACCATAGAATTTCATCATGTCTTTGATCTCATCCTTGTATGCATAATATTGCCCCATATTCTCTTCTTTATCAATTGACTGAAGAATTGGTGTGTTAACAAAACCTGGACAAATCGTGTTTAGACGCACTCCATAATTTTTCATTTCAGCAGCCATCTAAAAGAATAAGGCATGTTAGCTAGTCATTGTTGCCTTTTTGCAAACCTTTACCTTATAAAAGAAAGAGTAGTAAAACTGTGACTTGCTTAAAATCAACAAAACATAACAATATCACATTAGTTCTATATTATCAATGGTTAATATTATAAACAGAATTGCATAAAAGGGCGTTACACTATATGTTACTCCAGGTGTTATTTGTGCCCTTCATAATTACAAAAAAAAATAAAAATGGAGAAAAATTGCATACACTGATTTCTTTTTACCTAATTTTGGTATTTCTCAAAGCAGCTTAATTTTGAGAAATTCTGCTCTTAATAGGTGATTGAAAGATGTTAATATGAAGAAGGAATGACCATTCAAGATACTGTGCTTATATCAGTACAGAAGAAGTCTTGTGTCATGTATAGACATTCCTGAAATATGATCTACAATGACACAGCTTGCCTTAAGTGGCATGATTGTAGTTTGTATGCCAGCTATATAGACATTCACTGGTGCAGAGAGCCCAATCTAGGTAAGTCAGGGCGGGGTGAGGGGTAGGCAAGATTGGGGGGAAGCGGGGCTAGCAGGTCCTTAGTAGCCTTGGTCTAGCAAGTCTATATGGGGGTTGGCAGGGAGTTGGTGGTAGGGTCTAGGGCGAAGGGGTTGGCAAAACCTGTGCAGGGGCCGTTGGTGGGCCTGGGGTGGGGAGGTATGTCTGTCTGGCAGGAAGGGGTTTGGAGAGCTAAAGATAGCCCTATCAGGATAGGTGGAGAGGAAAGGAAAAACACAGCCCTGGGGCTTGGAGCAAGCCACTGGGCTTTTCTATCCCTGGGGCTGCATTGTGAATGTGTACACAAGTTCCCAGGACCCCATCTACAGTCAAACGACTCACTTTAAGCCATATGATCATAGATCCAGTCCCACATGTACACACGTTCACCAGTGCTGGGAGTTAGGCCAGAAACCTGATCGTAAGTCTAGGTGAGTGGGGGGAGTTAGTGGATCTGCAGAGGTGGAGGGGGCAGTTAGCCGGTCAGGGGAGAGGGGGGTGGTGAGTCCATGGAGAGGGTTGGTGGGTCTGAGGTGGAGGGGAAGAAGGTTTGTCCATTCTGTACACATGTTCAGGTTAGATCAGACATGGGTTAGACTGATATACATAGTTCACCTCTTAGGTGAACAAAAGTTAGATCAGTCTGGCCATTTTTTGCCAAATTTAACCTTCCCAAATGTCTGTGCTTTTCGGCACTTAGCTTGACCTGAACCCTCATTAGGTTGATCTAAGTGTAAGAGCCACAGGTGAGTGAATTAATTTAGATGAGGTACATAGTCTATGAAATCAATTGCACAATTTTCATATATTCAAATCACTCCTGGCACAGTTACCAGTTTTGAACTGTAGCACCTACTTACACCTTAATCCCTATTTACATATAGAGAAAAAAGAGACTGAGGCATTACAGGACTGATCTAAGAACATAGAGGAAATTGGAGTCAGAGCTAGGACGAGAATTCAGGAGTTTCAGACTTCTACCACTGTCATTAAACTATTTGATTCCATCTTTCTCAAAGTATCCCTGTACACCAACTTTGCCCAAACCTGGTATTGATCACAATCCCACATATATGCCTCAGTTATCTTCTCTGGATTCCCTTTCCAAAAGGAGGAAGTCTCCAGCTATCACTTCAGAAGCTTTGTTTTGTTTTGAAGGAGAAATAATTTCACTGTTACGACTATAGAGAAGAAACATGAAATTAAGCATGCTTTCAAGGATCTGCTGTTGGTGTTTCTCAACACAAGTACTTACTGCCATTGACCGAGTGAATCCAATTATGCCATGCTTTGTAGCGCAGTACACTGGTTGGTGTGTAGCAGGCATGAGTCCTTCAACAAGGGAAAACAAGTAGGTTATACACTTTAACTATCTACATTCTGTAGGTTTATTATAATATGTAATCAAATTCAACAGCCTAAACTAATTGAAATTTGCCAAGTCTAGTTGGAATTTTTAGGGAAAAAGGGAATAAAAGACCAGACAAAAAACCCAAGAAAAGAATAAGGGAACACAGGGGAAAAGGCATGATTTGAAGTCAGAGAAACTTTTATTACTAGGAGCTGGGCTGTGGGAGATGAATTAAACAAAAGAGTAAATGACTGGAAAAAAAAAACAATGAAGGGAGAGATTTTCAGAGCAGGGATTCTATTGTTTCTTGTTCTGTTAATCTCCATATTCATGTACATGAGTATAGTACCCTGTTGTTATGTAACAAGTCCAATTATCAATATTGAATATATTAACAGGGATTATGAAAATTGATTTTCTGAAGAAGAACATTTATCATGAGGGGTAGCAGAGTTCCTTCCTATGTGAGAATGCACCTAAACTGTATCTCCATAATACATCACTAAGAATGAGTGACTAAACTGGCTCTATGGTTTAGTGACAGAATTCTACCTCAGATAAGCAGCTTTTCCCCTTAGGGCAAAAGCAAGATATGAGGGCTGGTATGTTGCATGGGAATATGAAGCACTGCCAGATCATAAGTCTCTCTAAGCACTACAATTATTGCTTTATTATTAAAGTGCTTGACAGCATGCTTAGGACTGCACAAAAATACTGACAGACATCATCTCTGCTCCAAACTCTTACAATTTATGTAGGCAAAACAACTCAGCCTTGGTGTTCCATTGGAGGGTATTGGGAGAATATATTTAGTGATCCTGTTTCATAGTTTCATAGTTGGTAGGGTTGGAAGGGACCTAAGCACATTATTTAGTCTGATCCCCTGCCATGGGCAAGAAAGGATGCTGGGGTCAAATGACCCCAGCTAGGTGGCTGTCTACCCTCCTTTTGAAGACCCCCAGGGTAGGGGTGAGTACCACTTCCCTTGGAAGTTGGTTCCATCTCCTAGCTGCCCTGACTGTGAAGTAGTGCCTCCTGATATCGTCTGAATCTATTCTCAGTCAACTTATGGCCTTTGTTCCTTGTTACCCCTGGTAGTGTTCGGGGGAACAGGGACTCTTCCATTGCCTGCTGGTCCCCCTTGGCAAGTTTATAGGTAGCCACCAGATCCCCTCTCAGCCTTCTTTTGTGGAGGCTGAACAGGTTCAGGTCTCGTAGCCTATAGATTTCATAGATTTCATAGACATCAGGGCTGGAAGGGACCTCGGAAGATCATCGAGTCCAGCCCCCCGCCCAAAGGGCAGGAAGTCAGCTGGGGTCTTAGGATCCCAGCAAGATAAGCATCCAGTTTCATCTTGAAGGTGTTCAATGAAGGCGCTTGAACCACCTCCGGTGGCAGGCTGTTCCAGACCTTGGGGGCTCGGACAGTAAAGAAATTCTTCCTTATGTCCAGCCTGAAACGATCTTGAAGTAGTTTGTGACCATTCGACCTCGTCATCCCTTGGGGCGCTCTGGTGAACAAACGTTCCCCCAGATGCTGGTGGTCACCCCTGATAAACTTGTAGGTGGCCATCAGATCACCCCTAAGCCTGCGCTTTTTCAGGCTAAAGAGCCCCAGGGCTCTCAGCCTGTCATCGTAGGGTCTGCTTCCCTGACCTCTGATCATGCGCGTGGCTCTTCTCTGGACTCTCTCAAGCTTCTCCACATCCTTTTTGAATTGTGGAGCCCAAAACTGGACACAGTACTCCAGCTGCGGCCTCACTAAGGCCGAGTACAGGGGGAGAATGACGTCCCGGGATTTGCTTGAGAGACGTCCCGGGATTTGCTTGAGACGTCCCGGGATTTGCTTGAGATCATCGAGTCTGACCCCCTGCATAGGCAGG